TTAAGCCTTGGATAATCTTATCTAAGTTTTTTATTTTCATATCAGCACGTTTTGTTGGCAAAAAAGAAACATGAGGACGTGTTTCATAAATCTTACGTGAAAGAAGCTTGTGTAATATCTTTTTTATTCGCTACACTGTAAATAATTCATCTGGAAATTTGTCAAATACATTTTCTTTAGTGTGTTCAATTGATTAGCAGCCGGAACTAGTTATATTGTAATTGTGTCCCATGTTATGTCAGTTCGTTTGTTTGTAAAGGATATGGTCGTCACAACAGTTGAGGTCAAATGAAAAGAGACAGAATAGAGAGGTTAGAAAAGAAAATATCTAAAAAGGCGGAATCAGGAGAGATTTTAACCACTATGCAACATTTAGGATCACTATTTATTTCTGTGGTGTTGTGTCTTCCTTGGCACCGTTTCATTTGCGAATCTCGAACAGATGCCGAGGAAAACACCGCTGATTGTTAAGAGTAAACAAACCGTCTTGGTAGCTACATGTATATAGGAAACAAAATGCTACACATTAAACTCGATGTTTACCGTAGCGCCAACAGATAATGTCAAAATCGGTACTCAAGTCCATATGACGTGAAAGGAGACAAGGAGACACACAAAAGTACTAAAGTACTAAAATACCACAATGTTAAATTTGGTGCAGCAGATTTATTATGGTCGCATTTGTGTTCCAGCGTAGCGAAAATGACAAATCCTGCAGGGGTTTCCACATTAGTTGCATCTTCCAACATGAAGTAGGAAACATTAGGTATATCCTGTTTCCAAATCCCCAGGATTTATTTTCATTAATGTCAGAATATTTATAACGACAGGTTTTTAATCTGACTTCACATAATGGGAAATATTAAATGATTGGATACACATCATTACGAAATGAGGGTTTCTGCTTCATAATGCGTTTTACCCCTGATCATGAAACTGCTATGAATGAATGTATAAAAGATGTAACCAGGACAACATGTATAAAAGATTTAACCCGGACAACACAGGTAATGCAGAATGCGTGTACTCCTCCAGGGAAACCTGTTTTACTTGTTAAATTGAAAGACTATAACATTTTTAAGATAATTAAATCAAATTATGTACCACATCCTAACAACATACAAGGCAAACTGTTTTAGCAAACCACGTGGATGAAGTGTTAGTATATTTATCTAGGCATGTCTGCATACGTTCGCGCTGTTGTAGAGTTGAGATATACAATTAAATTTCTGTGTCAGTGATTATCGCTGACTTTAATGGCCTTTTTCTATTAAGATGGCACTATACCTAAATTTAATTGTCTATTTAGTTTTAACACATCGGATGTGTGGATGGATTAATGCCAACATGTTAAGGGGGTACAGATATGTCTGTTATATTAGTGAGAGCCCTGCCTCAGTACGTCAAATATAGAGTCCGTTCAGAGTATGTTGTACACCAGTCTCAACCGTGAAAAGTTTGTTTATCTGTTCAGGATTTTTCGCCCTTGCAACAGCTAAGGTCGTACATGATGATGGAGTCACTCAAGGACCAACTTAAAGTGTCATTTCACTGCAATTCATAATTATGACAAGGTAACATGATACCCTACTTATAAGCATTATCCTGGTAACGTGCTTACCCGAAGGAGGGGTGCCAAAAGTAAAGAGCAGGTAGTAGAACGAAAATATCAAAGAGAATACTTAAGAGTAAAAAAAAAGTAAGTTGAACTCAAAATCGATAAAACTAGGGAAAACTTTGAAAAAAATACTAGATTTACATGGAAATCTTTGAAAGTACTAAAAGAAAAAGACAAGATTTCGGAATGTGTAATGTGTTGAAATTAGTCAACTGATCAATTTTGATATCTCAAATGTGCCATGATAAGGAGAAAAGAAAAATCTCCGATTCTGCAGGCAGCATACCACTAATCGCCTTATATGAGCATGTAGTGGGATAAAACAGGTCTATGTTTCCTGAGCCTACACAGGCACTTCACTGAGCTTAACTGCTCAGGTTCGGTTAAGTCAGTCTGCAACAAGTTTGGTCCAGATTTTAAAAAAGGACAAATGCAATTACGTCCAAGGTGTAACTCACTAAAGTGGAAGTAGGAAACCATAAGTGTGTACCAGCTCCAAGCACCTTTATTCACTACGGTGAGAAAATTTAAAGTGGTAGTGGAAGAAAAATCTGTTCCATAACTCAGTCCGCAAACAATTTGTTCTGTCCCAAATAGACCGTAAATGGCCAATGGATGGCTTCAGGAATTTGAAATAGATTGGTGCGCAATGTGTCTTTTAACGTTTTCCAAGTGCATTCGGTACGGTATTATTTTAGTCATTCTGTTACGTCACGGTTTAAATGGTGATCTTACTTGAGCTCTTAGGGGGATACATACACTTCTTACGTCTCTAGAATCTTCTCTTTTTTTTAAGAAAAAAAAGAAACTGTTTTGATTACTTTGATGTCTGGTTCCAGATTAAGTTTCAAACTAAGGGGGGATAAGACAATAGAGTAATGCGGCTGGACAACGTAGTAGCCAGTTTACATGATACGTAGCGTTTTAGAAAATAAATAAATTAATCACTTATTTTATATTCGGATTTTCGTTTCACGTCACCACGCAAAACCTCTTACTTATAATGCAAAACATAGGCAAATTAGCAATTAGAAGCCCAGTCCTTCCCTACAGTAACGGGTCCAGCGTCTTGCCTATTTTTTCTTTCAGCAACACATGTAGATCGAGATTTCTATATTAATTCATAATTAAGGAAATTTTTGTTCATCATTTGAACGATTGAATTTGAATAATTATAAAAATTAACAGCTTTCCTGTTGACTACGATACATATTTCTAGATGAGTCGCTGTATATCTCTATGATTTATCAAACGCCCTATAGTTCATACCATTTTATTTTTGTCTCTGCAAAGGTTTCTCCTCTGTTCTATCAAAACTAGTTCATTGTCTTTAAATTCATCTAAATACACTGACATATGCCAGTATTTCCACACTGATGTTTTGAATTCACCATCTTGCTTTACGACGAAATTTGTTAGAGTCTTGTTATAGTGTTGTAGTCTAAATTATCGTGTTCATTAATTTTGTGTATTTATCCATGACATATTACATCGCTTATTCATATCAATACTTTTATTATTTTCAGTATGAAGTGTATCATATGAATACTTTCAAAATTCTTCTCAAGTATAAAACTCAAAATAGGTTGTTCACTATTTAAATGTTAAGGCAGAGTAATATCAAATAGAGGCATACACTTATGTCCAAACTCTGTGGATGGAGGGTTTCTTTTCCATCTCACTAAACTAAGATAATGTAATTAATCAGCGGAAACCTAACAAGTGTTGTTACAGGAATATTACCTGCATGCTATGTGTCGTCCTCACCCAGTGAAGTAATACGTTTTCTATCATAGAACAGACATAATCGATATATGGAAATCAACTATCATCAGCATCACTCGGCACCGGCCAGGAGAACTGTTGGGAAGCGATGCCACGGAGATTCTAATTGTAGGAAATCACTGATGCGGGTAATTTTCCCTGAAGGATCTCAAGGTTTTTTACACAATCTTAAAAAAGCTATTTTTGTACCTACTCACTTTGCCATCTATTAGAACAATGAAATAAAATGCCTACCAATATTTATTAATTTCACCTTAAAGTTATTGAATAATAATTGATTCATAAAAAACAGAGGGAAATTGTGAATGCATTTTATTTTTATTTTTAGTAAAAAAAAAAAAGTTGAAATAATTGTTCATTATAGAAATAAGGACATAACTAGAATGTAACCACCCTTTTCACAGTAACTTTTTCATCTTAATGGCAAATGTGTATAGCAACAGCAGTGCAAGCTTCCGTTAATTTGCCAGTTTGAAAAAAAACAATCTGCTTGTTACAGAAACGTCTACACTTGCTCGAGATCATAGAGTTTTAAATAACTTGTCTTTAGTCAGAAATGTCTTTGCTGCATTTTCGTGTCGTTTTCAAAATAAAAATAACGGAAACGCAACTGCAAAGTAGGCCAAACAGAAAGAAAGTTCGATATGTTTTAAGTAAATATAGAATTATCTTGTAAGTCGTTAATTGAGGAAGCTGACGGTTATTATTTTCATTCATGTGTTTCAATCTGTACTACTATTGATTTCATTCATGAATTCCACAGATAATCCTCTCACATTCGGATAATTGTATCTTCCGGCGGAAATTGCGTTTAGATTTGAACTTCCCCCGGAAGCCTCGCTTTGGATAAACAGATGAAAGTAACTAACAAAGTAACTATAGATGTTACAATTGACTAGTTTACTCCCTTATATAGCAATATCGCACAAGAGACAGAATGCAGTACTGTCCTGCCTTAACCACAAATTGTTGGAAACGAATAAGCATGCCATTTCAACGTATCCAGTCATTGTTAAGGAGGTAAATAACTACAAAAGATATGATACAAAAGACAATGCATTGCCTTACCCTTGGGAAAGGTATGCATAGGTAAATCCATAATAATAACAATAATGTTACAATTAGTCAACAATGCAAAGAGTATCCGCTCTTATTTATATCAATAAGTATACGGGCTATTGGTTTGATATAGCTCTTTGCTCGTGACCTCATAGAAAGAATATAATTATTTGTGAGTGAACGCTAACATGAAAGAGACGTCTGTTTCTTTCACTTAACTCTAGGAGTTAGACGTAAATATGTAACGATAATCGAACACAAAAACAAACAAAAAACCTACAGTATACATGGACAACAAACATGAGTATTTGTTTATACCTTTAAGACACAAATCCAAAATAAATATACAACGTGATGAATCGAAGGGCCAAATGCAGCCAAACGCTCCAGAATAGACACTTATCCAGCATCACTTACATGTAAGTATTGTATAAAATTATAATGGCAAATGCTGACCTTAAATAATAACATTTTACCATGTATCTCAAAAACTGAAAATGAAATGATTTATTTTTCATATTTGGATATAAATACTCACCGGAATACACTGACATATAAGGCAGTTCATTCTCCCATACGGCTCTATTGGTGGACTGAATTTCTCTTTTAGACGGTAATGTTCGTTACCCAACACACAACCTGTAAAAAGATATACATTCTCAACTATGATGTCACATTTCTTTACAACCATTATAATTTAAACATATCCGACATAATTGTGAAATGTACTAGCGAATGCATATCATAAATGTAATTTCTATGGATTTTTGAGAGTCACTTAATTTTAGTTTCACAAAATGGCATAATAACAGAGCATGATATTGGTCCGCGGACAATATCTGCCATTAGTTATCACCAACGGTCTAAGGCTAATAACACAGGTATAAGACCTAAACCGACACTGTAATCACATTACTTAGATATAAGATCATCACAGCGAACGTGATATTTCTTCAGCGTAGTTCGAAGTGTCTCCGAAAGGCGCTATGGCGAAGTAAGATGTTATTCCAGAACTGCTATTTTTTAATAATTATGTTTAATAATGGTGGAACACCATGAAGGAGAGAAGATGTTGAATTCAACGAAGACTGGATGCCTGTTTCCACAATGATATACTCACAACACTTAATAACTATAGTGCTTTATTCTCAAACATTTTGCATTAATCATCTTACAGTGACAGAAAGCATATTGTTCATTTCGGCAGCTACATCGCATGTGACTAATCGGAATCGGCTTTAACTTCACTAAGACATAGCCAATACGCCAGATGTGATTTGATATCGATATTGCAACATACTTTAATGATTAACAGTATATAAACAACCAACAGCAGCGTAAAGGTCGGAGCGTACGTCAGCAGGGCTACACCTGAAATACACGTGTGAGCATAATTATAGCTAAGCAGGAATGGTATTATTTCGGTAACTGACCAATAAAAACTGTTGTTATAACAAAGGCGGGATAGAATAATTATTTTAACAGGACGCATCTTTCCAGACAAGACTTAAACTTGTTTTCCTAAAACTTGTAAGAACTTTGTCGAGCTCTTCCACTCGTCCGACGTCAGACTACCATGGTTAATGTTCTTAATGTTTCTATCCACGTAAAAGAATATTGTATTTAATATATTTATTGAAGAAAGCAAAAAGCTAAAACGTTCCTCTCTCTTCAAAACATAATGCACAAGGCTGAATAGTTTCTGTAATTTCTGGTACAAGTGTTTCATTAAATCATTAAAAATAATTTTAATGATGTCTATATGTTAGTAGGTTTTAAGGTTTTCAGGTCAAGGGCGAAAGTTTCAAACACGTTTTGAATCTATATTGTTAAATCAATCGGCTTACTAGCGCTCCGAGTCGAATTCCTCACCTACAGTTTCTGCTGGGATGAAGCGTAAACTTTACAAACCGTTGCAGTATGTTAACCATTAAATTTAGCTGAGAGAGTGAAATCGACATTCGTATAGTAAAATCCCTAAAGAATTGATAGCTTAATAGTCAGCTGAGCTTTTTCTTTTAATTATGTGGTATCGGGTTTTAAAATATTAATATATTCTCATATGTTTTCCTAAAATCAATTCCTATGTCTTCCGAAAACATGTAATTTAAAGTGTAAAATCTAAAATATTTATCATACAACCAGCTGCAAAGTTGGTGTGCAGCCATACAAGCTGTTGGTTCTATTTGTTTGTAATTTTTTGCTTGCTTTAGTAGTTTTATTTTAAGCATAGTGTAACAAACCGAATAATCATTACGCATGATACTTTGTAAGTACGTATTGAAAAAATATTTTATTGCCGCTTTACAACATAAAGATGCTATGTAATATATTTATGTACAGATAATATTTGATTGGTGAATAGAATAGCCTCGAATGCCCTCAATACCATTCTCAGTAATCTAACTAGTATCTGTTAGTTCTCACACCAGGCACTACAACCTTCTGCCTTGCCAGCTTAACCCACGTTTTGTTAATTATCCATATCGTTATTTATATTAGTTTTATTATTGAATATCAGTATTAAAACTACAAAATACAAGATTCAAAACTCTAATTTCACCAAACAGCACTAATTTTCTATATATTAAAAAAAGAAATTATATTTTATACAAGACAATAGTATATAGATTATACTAACGATGCTTCTGAGAGTTCGGCTCCGGCTGGTAGATAACCTAAGTCTATGTAACTCGTTACCTTAGCAGTAAGGATCACGAATGCTGTAATGCTAATTTGCCACACGATTGATCATTTCAACACCCCAGATGTATTATAAAACAAACTTGGTACATATGAAAAAAGTTATATTTTGATATCACTGAAAGATACATAGCTCTTATATATACCTTTTTTGAGATAATATATATATAAGAACAGTTTTTCAGATATATAAACAATTACAAGTTTTGTTTCACTGATAGATTGAAATATCACTAAACAAAACAAGGAGTGTCTCCGTTATCCTTAGCACACCTATGTTGTTTTAGGTTTTAATTATAACATAATAAAACCTGAATTATAAATGGAATTAGAATATAACAGGCATAACCTCTGTCATATCCATCAATTTGTTATAATACCAATTGCCATTATCAGGACGAAACGTACTTTTAACAATTTAACGATGCATAATTGATAAAAGTCTCTAAAAATTATAAACTACATTTAAAAAATGTCAGAAAATTATAATGGTGTCATTTCATTCCCCAATCAATTGTATAAGAGAGTATTTTATTACGTTTTAAGATGAAAACTACACTGATACATCCAAATAAATTAGAGAGAAAAAAACAATTAGCAAAGCTGCAAAACGACACAATAACTTAACTGAGAACAGATATGGGCAAATATATGAAACAGAGAAAAATCAAAGTACATCAAGACGGAAGGACAGAAAGCATTCATCTTTAACCAAAAATACGGAGGTGAAACTAGTTGGTAGTGCCTACAGCCCAGATGAATGAAGTTTATGCTGTTCATACTGTTTACAAATTGATTATTACATAGTATAATATATTTTCAAATTGAAGTTTAATATTAATGACAAAGTGGATAATGAATAAACAAATGAATATATTAATGAACGAAAAAAAGAAGAACTAAAATGATATGGAAACATTTTAGCAAAATCAACTGTGTATAGGGAGAGGTTTCATTCAAACCCCGTCATGGTATTCCTCTGACTTATATGCCTCAGAGTCATTACATGGTATCGTTTTACGTATACTACTACCAATATGTTACACAATATTTTCAGTTTAGATAAGACGTATATTCCCTTGCCGTCGCCACCCAATGTGCGACATGAACACGACAAGCAAAATAGATAAAGGAACAGCAATAAAGAAGCCACAAACGCGTATGTTTCTGTTATTAGCGTACACCCAGTGGGACACAGAAAGAAGAAGAAGGGACGGAACCATACTTCTGACTAGTTTGAACGACATATTGAAATTTCAAATGCTTCGTCTGCTGTCTGCAATCGGTGGATTACAGGGCAAGAAGAAGAAATGAATGGACAGAAGCATAGTGGCCGGTAAGGAAATATATAAGAATCATCATAGCAAAGTCTCGCTATCTAGCCAGCGTACATATTAAACGGAACAGAGAAGGGAGATGAATCGAGCGAAGCATAGATTGTGTTTGGTAAATATATAACATTGGAATCTTCAAAGCATCTCCCATTCATTCTCAAACAAGAACACGCTTTAATCAGGACAAGGAATGGATACGTAGGAACGAAGACATACTTTGTCACTGGTGGGAACAATGAACTGGAATCGCATGCGGTTAGCACTGTAATGAATACCCATCATTAGAGGGGGTAAACATTTAGTAAAACCTCACGGTGGAAGCGTAATGGATTACTCCATTCACAGTAAACCTATGATTACGTTAGATTAACAAAACAGCAAACACGACCTTTCGCGCTGGTCTTTGTCCTTTGAAATCACTATGTAAACGTGTCATTGCTACTCAAACAAAATAGCTAAGTTGACCCTCTAGTTTGCACTTGGTGATTTGTGTTCATATAAAACGGTATCACTACATGTTAGACAATGAAATGAATTGACATTTTGAGGTGTTACTCATGGTTTGGTATGTATGCTATTCCGTACCACCATTGTTTAATTGACCGTGTGGAATGCTACGTGTGATATCAAACGTATAGGTTGCATCCCAAACCTTCTGCTCGTTGACGCGGGTAAGGCAGGTGTATGGTAGGGTTCAGGTGTAACTATTATAGAACCGACGGGTAATAGTGATAACAGGAAGGACTGATGTATAATGGTGGAACATTTACTCCAAGAGTACAAATATTTGGTAGTGGTATCATTGTCACCGGCATAAGTTAGACTTAGGGTAATGGTAACTTTGTAACTCGTATAGGATATATATAAGTAGAAGTAACATTGCAACTCGTATGGGATATATATATGGTAGAGATAACTTTGTAACTCGTATGGTATATATATGATAGTGGTAGCATTGTAACTCGTATGAATTATATATATGGTAGAGATAACTTTGTAACTTGTATGGAATTTATATATATGGTAGAGATAATTTTGTAACTCGTATGGGATATATATTGTAGTGGAAACTTTGTAACTAATATGGAATTTATATGTATATTGTAGTGGTAACATTGTAACTCGTATGGGATATATATGGTAGAGGTAACATTGTAACTCATATGGGATATATATATGGTAGAGGTAACATTGTAACTCGTATGGAATATATTTATTATAGTGGTAACATTGTTACTCGTATGGTATATATATAGTAGAAGAAACATTGTAACTCGTATGGTATATATATAGTAGAAGAAACATTGTAACTCGTATGGGATATATATATATTGTAGTGGTAACATTGTAATTCGTATGGTATATATATTGTAGTGGTAACATTGTAACTCGTATGGGATATATATTTTAGTGGTAACATTGTAACTCGTATGGGATATATATACAATGTATATATACATTGTAGTGGAAATATTGTAACTCGTATGGGATAAAATATATACATTGTAGTGGTAAAATTACAACTCGTATGGGATATATATCTGTATACATAAAAGGTTGTGGACATTGACGGAAAAGGTATGTTAGTGTAGAAATTAAATA